AAGCTGTAAAAACACAGTAATTGACCTTTGGACGGTACGCAGTGTTTCGCAGTTAACGCACAAGGTATTCCGGATGAAATAACGGGATGCAAAGGTCATCTGTACAGCAAATACCAAGCATTTTGCAAACAAAGCATTGGATATAAAGACAATTAGGAACTCTCGTGTATTATGTATGAACCAACACTTACTGAATGAACCAATCAGTATTGAAATTTGTATTTCTATGGTTAGTTTCCCTGAACATATATGCATTAGGATAGAATCCTAGTGTTTCAGCAATGTGTTATGAACCCTTTACAGCTCCATTTTTTTCAGTTAATTTAGTACTCAGGAAAATTGCTTGTTTGACAGTCATAGAAATTGAATGCCTTTCCAGCTCCCCAGCAGATTAGCACAGGAGGCATAAAGAATTAAGCTTCTACCTCCTCACTCACATATCTCTGGTGTTCAGGGGCAATTGTGGTTACTGGGACAGGCCTGTGGGAGCAAGACGGGGAACCTATAGGGTTTGGTAGAAAGCAGGTCCTTACCTCGTTACATCACAGCATGTATCAGCATGATGGAGTTGACCAGAGCAGAGAGCCTACCACAAATCCACACTCTTATTTACAGACCAACGCCCTTAAGGATGAAGAGCCGTCTTTTTTTTTGGTTTGTTTTTCCTTCTCATGCACTTTTTGGCTCGCTGTTGGCATTTTTCATTAGGTCAGAGGCTTGCTTTTGAAAAGCATCTCCCACCTGTTCCCAGTTTCATAGAGTGGTGCCTTAACAGCCCTGAGCAGCTCCACCTGGGGCTCCCCCAGCCCTGCCCATGGGCCCAGGGCCCACGTCAGCCCCACCTTTGGGCTGAAGCAACAGATCTTTTCAGTGGCATCCTCATGCTGTGGAACTGCCAGCACACTTTACGTGGCTAATAGACACATTTACAGTATTTTACTCCTTTTCCTACAGTTGTGAATTAAAAGAATATACTTATAAACACGTGTAAAGGCTTTAACTCACTGGACCTCACTTACAATCAGCAAAATTCCTCCAGATTTTTCATAAAGTCCCTGAAGAATAGCCCAGTACCAAATTGCTTTTTTGTTGTTGTTGTTAAGATTGCAACTATTAAACTTCACTAATAATATGGGAAGCATAAGAAGAGTGGACATCTCTGTCTAATGTCTCTGGCTACTACAGAAGCCTTTACCATAGGTTCTCAGCCAGAAATACTGAATGACTGGTAGCTGAGGTTTCTAAACCCAAAATTCTTTCCGTGCTTGTAGACTAAGAAAAGTATGAATTTCCTGATGTCATTTTGGTCCAAACAGCTCGCACTGCCTTGATTCACTGATTTGAAAAACGATGACTTAGAGTTTTGAAAGTGCTGAGAGATGTTATAGCCTGGTCCTCTTATGATCAACTGATCTTTTCAGCTCTTAATGGGAAAATAAATCACAGATAAAAGATAATCCTGTTGCACAGAAGCAAAAAAGGTGTGATATCAATAGACTTTTATAGAAAAAGAAAACTCTGTGAAAGGGATAAAGTAAATAAGGCAGTTTGTTCTGCTGAAGCCCATGTTGGCAAGGTCAAAGCTCTCCTCGGGAGCTGCCAACCTCAAGAAATGAGAATGGAACATAAAGTATATTCAGAGAATTCAAAAAGATACAAGGCATGGGGGTTTTTAATTGTATGTGACCCATCCTCATCCCCTAAAATCTAGAATTTCAAGGGTCTTCTTAGATTTTTACTGTTCTTATTTCTTCTCTAATGATAAAGCTGTGAACTGTTAGTTTATTTTCCTTTCCGTTCTCTCTTATTTCACTTTGGATGTTGCAGATGACATTAACAGTATAGGAAAAGGAGCCAAATAAAGCTTTGCTATATTCTAATTAATGATTATTCTAATAAAAAATACTTTGATATGGCAGCCAGCCTAGAGTGTCTTCTATGATCTTTAATTTTCAATGTGATACGTATTATTTATAGCCTATAAATGTAGGTGTAACACAATGGCAAAGCAAGCAGTAAAAAAGAGCCCATTAAGTATCTGGCCTGTATAAGAACCGATTGCACAGTCAATCTCTGCAATGTAAATAGGCTTTTTCAGAACATTTGTTTGCATTTATAATTAAATTAAACTTTAACTGAAATAAAAAAAAACACCCTCTATGGGAAAATCATATATATACATACTGCTTTCCCTCTGCTAACTACAGAAACATGAAGGGATTGAGTCGAGGAGGTCACAATAATTACCAAGTGAAAGTGATGCATGGAAAGCGTGTTATTGGACATCATCCCACTGGTAAATAAGCAGGTTGGGATCACACTCTGGTTTTCCTGGAAACTTTTCTGCTTCATGAAACAGCCTGAAACTGCTGCTGTCCTCAGCATCTAATTGACAAGGGACATCAGGCCTTTGGGCCATGGGATGGAGACCACTGTTGCCCTCCCAAGCTCACGTTAAACAAATCCCACCTCCCCATACAGCCTGAAACTGCTGCTGTCCTCAGCATCTCATTGACAGGGGACATCAGGCCTTTGGGGACATGGGGTGGAGACCACTGTTGCTCTCCCAAGCTCACGTTAAACAAATCCCGTTCCCCCCACCTCCCCACGGTGCTCTGGCTCAATGGGCTGTTTCCTGCTTGCAGGTTCCTACCCAGCACAAAGAAAGGATGTTATTGAACAATTGGAACAGTAGCCTGCTATCTTAAAGCCATTGTTTGTGTCTGTGTTACTTCTTGAATAATCAAGATTATTCTTGATTATTCTTGGATTATTCTTTGGGCACTGAAATGCTAGGCTCTCCCATTTTCCCTCACATAACGCTGGTGTCGCCCCTGAGGACTGCAAGGTGGCACAAGGCTTTACAGGAGATGAGCTTCGGCATTTCTGCATGCATTTACCTGAGGAAGTGCTAAGTACAGACCTGGCTAGGTAATTTTTATAGCTGGGATTTCAATGGATGTGTAAATGGGGGCTCAGATGGCTATTATCACTTCCCATTGAAAATCTATTTTGTTACGATATAAAATACATGAATGCCCTAGTTGTATCGATAAAGACTAACGTAAGAAAAAATAATTATCACAATGGATAAGACAGTAACATAGTGCTCCAGGGGCACTACTTTTTTTGGTTACTCAGTAGGCAGACATCTTGCACGTGCCCTAAGCAGCCAGTGTCAGAATGGTTTTAATGTACATATTAACTTCACCTTTATATATTCATTTTTCACAGTAGTATAAACCAGAAGGAAAAGGTGCCTGGTACCTCTGTGCTGCAAAAATCCAGCTTAGACTTCTGTCTAGCTTTACAGTATCAGCCCATCTGTTTTAGGTGAAAACTTGAGCAGTAATTTTAACCTCAAGTACGTTAACCTTTGGATGTCAGGAGACATGATAGACAGGACCATTATTTTTATGGCACATTTTTTTCCTGAGCAAAGATCCTAGGCAGTGAAGAAGGATAGAAAATCCTGGTTTTGCCTCTCTGTCTCCAAACAAAATACAGTGTACGGTCATTTGAAAGCCAAGGCAGACTACATTATCGACATACAAATACCCAACAACTATAAATCTAAGGGAACCCAAGTAATGAGTCAAAACCATGAGGGAAATGATTTATTCAGGCTCACTGAATTTACTGGCATAAATACTGATTCCTCATAAACCAGCGTTCACCCTCCAGTTTCAGCTGAAGACAAGATGGATCTGGAGCAGCTGAGGAGGTGGCAAACATCTGCTCCCCTGAAACCTTCCCTAGAGATGTAAATGGATGCTTGAAGGTGGGAACATTTTTATGACTCTCATATCTCTCAATTTCCTGAAAATTTTTGAGTCAAAGTCTGAGTTGACGTATAGTACAAAACTAATTGAAGTTGTCCTCCAATAGTTATCATCTCCAAGAAACCACATACAATACACAATATTTAGCAGTTCTAGTAATACTCTCCAGGTAACTTTAAAAGAGTTAATAAAAAATAGGAGAAAATGTTGCAGCAGCTTCACATTTATACCCGATTAATTCAAAAGTGTATAAAGTCTTTAAGCAATTCAAGATTTGGAATTTTACTTAATTTCTGAGGAGCTTAATTTTATTTTCTCACTAAGTAGTGTCAGGACGTTCACTATCATCAATGATATTTGGTAAGCTATTAAGTGTGAGGCCATTTAGTCTTTGCCGAGAGTAGTAAACTGGAGACATGAATGTATTTGTCATTTATCCTAATTGGCTACCAGTATCAGCTTCCACACCTGTAACAGCATCTATTGATCAATGTTAGATTCATTTAGGCCACGTCTGTGAAAAATGTTCTTTTGTATTTGTGGAAACATGTTCATTATACTTGGAATCTATAACAATATGTTTAGTAAATATGCTCAGGATGGTTTCTAATTCTGGTTTTCAGGTCCCCAAAATATTCATCTTTCCTCTTCTCATTTCCTGGGGTCAAAACTTTGCTTTTTCAGAGTCAGTGGTAAATCTTCCACTGACTTTGACGGAGCCAGTACTCTACTCTTAGTATTTCCTTTTTGGTACTTTTCAGCACCTTTTTCTCTTTCACTGGTTTCCTTTGTATCCTTGTTCTACTTCAGGATTTGTTTAACTTTCAACATCCAAACAATCTGCTATTTTTCTTTTTTTTTTAATCTTTTTTTTTTTTTTTTTTTTACTCACCCTAATTCTTCGGTTTCTAAATATGCTTTATTTTTTGCCACCTTATTTCATTTCCTCCTTTTTTCTTTTTCCTTTTTTGGTTTTTGTTTGTTTGTTTGTTTCTCATCCTCTGCTTAACTACTATTTTCCTCTGCTTACTCTGCTGTTTTTCCTCTCTCCTAGCTGACATTTCCCTCTGTGCAATATCTTTCTACCTTCCCTTTCCTCTCTTTTCCAAAACACAGCTCATCATTCTATGCCACTAATGTATAGCAGATTCTGAAATACTGTCATCTGAGACAGTTAAGTACTAAACAAAACATTACCAGGGTGGAGGAATCACTTACCCTGATTGACAACAAATCGTAACTTCTGTATTGTTGCCAGATTGCCGCTAACTCTGTATATTCCATCAACATCTAGACCTGAAAGAGAAACACATATTTCATTTTAGATCATAGAAGTATTTTTCTTTGTACGTCTGTCAGGAAGCCAGAAGCGCCCTAACAAGTATGAAGAAGAGCAGTGTAGTGAACGACTGAAAAATAATCCACCTGACACAAGTGAAGTGCCTCTTGCCTGATTAAAACAACAATGAAAAATAAAAGTGGTAGATTAACTTAAGTGAATACAAAACACCTAACTGTAATTATCTTGTAATTCTGTCAGCAGAATACAGTTCTGCAACGATATTTGTGAGTGAAGGGGAAGGGAGAGGGAATTAGCTCTTGAGCTCACAGGGACGGGCTCTTTGGGATATGCAGGATGCTATGCTAGCCCTGCTTAAACGTGGGGTGTTTGTATTAATAGTGCTGGGGAAACTTCTCAGTCTGGGTCCTGGGTTTTCCAGGCATGAATTTCTGAGGCTGTGACCTTTCTGAAAATAAAGCGGTGAGGTGCCCACTCTGAAATCATGACGTGCGTGAGACTACACACAACTACCGTTTCTCTACTATATTCTTCATAGCAGATCAGACAAGTTTGAAGATGAAATTAAATATCCCAAAGAGCATATGCCCCGGAGTACATTTCTTCATTAATATAGGCCATTCTTTTCAAGGACAACCTGACAGTCTTGTTTCTCCCTGCATATCTACTCAAGGTTTATCTTCTAGGTGAAACTAGATGTCATACTCCCTTTTGTGACATATTATCTCCTACAGCAAGCTCTGCTGATATGACTGTTTAAAATAGCACTTCCAGCCCCAGTTGCATAGCTGTAGCATTTCAAAGCACATGGGAACTGCTGTCTTTTCCCGGGAGAGTCAGCCATTGTGCAACAATGACTGAATCTGCATGCTTACAAATTGAAAACACTAAACCATACATTGTGATTTCACGTTTAAAACTTGCAAGTACATAAGAAGCTAAGGGAATCTACACAAAATAGGTTATTTAAAGGCTACTCATCACTTGGAACACAAGTTTTAATTAGCTTTTGGCAAGCAATTTCAGAGAAAGCCTTTCTCTTGGAAAACACTACTTTGTCAAAACCAAAACTTTTTAGGAAATATTTCCTGACAATGAATCTAGGGGGAATATTTTTTCTGATTTGGCGTGGGGAAAAAGGAAAACCTGAAACTATAGGGAAGAGTGGAAATAAGTCCAAAAGCCCAGAAGCCCAGTTGTAATAACACTTCAATAGGAAGGAGCCGAGGTTCAAGTCCTTATTTCAAAGATACTTGCATCCTGTCTTGGCAGATGAGTGCCATAACCAGTGGACTCAACTGCTTGGAGGTATTCCTCACTCATCTTGAAGCATTTTAAAAGATTTACTTTTTCTTTTGATGCAGACTGAAACCAAATAAAGTCTTTTGTTTCTTTGCGTGTTTGTTTTCTCTCTCTACAAAATACGGTTCTTCTTCCATGTGTATCCTGCTAGGAATATCCTGATTTGGTTTACATTAGATAATCTATTTTAAAATTTAACAATAATTCTGTATTATACACTAGTTATTTATGTCTTTTATTAGACAATTTTCTACCCTGCACCTGTGGGTGTTCTGCAGCTAATACTGAGACTGATTATTCATTTCAGGAAGATCCCGTTTGGTTAGAGAGGGACAAAGAAAAGGTTTATTTAAGAGAAATTATAAAGGATTTGGTAATCAAGAACACTTGGAAGTTATCCATCTACTGGATATATAACATATGAGCAAATGGAAATTACTAAAATGTTTAAGTAATGCAATTCTATCCTAAATCTGAAGAGTCTTATTCTGTTTTAGTAAGGGGAGAGTGAGAGAGCAAGAGTAATTCCCAGCCCAGGAATGTGGGACTCTTGTGATAAGGGATTAAGAATTGCATCGTGTAAATTGAAGTCTAAACCAGTTAGTAAAGAGGAAAAATAAAACAAGCAAGCAAGCCCCGAAACAGAATGTTAACTTTTGCTTGGATCTAACTCAAATCAGTTCCTAACCTTTTTGGATATACGGAAGTGTCACTTTGGGTGACATAGCTATGTCTCACATTAATAGCATCAATTTGGAACCTGCATAAATTATCCAGATCAAGTGAAAATGACAAACTATGTTGTAAATTGGTGAATATTACCTCTTGCAAAATGATCTGGAGTACACAAGTGCGTCATTATTGCTATAAATTTACTTTGGTCCAGAAATGAGGTCTGATTAGCATTTCACTTGGACGCTATACAATATGGCAGAGAGAAAAAAAAAAATCCAAGAATATCAAGCCAATTATAGTGTTCACGTGCCATCAACTTTCTGCTCCAAGAACTTTGAAAGTTAAGCCAAACCAAACCAATGCAAATTGGTGGATTTGGACATCCTTTTCATGACCACATTATCTTAGCTGGATTGTTAACAACTTATTTTGGAAATACAATTAGGTGCAAAAGAGAGAGAAAGAAAGAGAGCAATATGTCTTTATAGTTCCAATATCCCGATTCTACGAACAATTTTCAAAGTAAATTCACTTTTAAGGGCACCTCTATTAAGAATAAAAACATCACTGCACTGCTGTCAGTGTTTCTTCATGACAGGCTGTAAATTCTTAGAGAAGAAGATGAAACAAAATCCTTGTGGAGTTTCCTGTCTGGTGCTGGCATTTATAGTGGTAAAGAACATTTCAGAAAAAAATATTCATTGTAATAAAGTCAAACTGTTGTTCACTATAGGGTGGCCTTCTTGTGTTTTGGAGTGGGGTTTATCAGGGAAGAATCACTGGATTTTGCCCTCAAGGAGAACAAGTATCTTATTTGTTTTATATCCCAATCTCCGACCCTGTTTCTGTTTGTTTTAATGAGCAACGTGAGAACAGGATGGACCCACAATTAGAGAAGATAGCCAAAAGCATGATAATGACTTCAGTATTTCCACCCTAAAATTTGTAATGGCATAAGAAACGTAGGGAAAAGACTTGCTCAAGAATACATCATTTTAGCTGCCAAACTATAGGCAAAATTTAAGTATTTTCACTTAAAATTTATATAAAATTTATATCAGGTACTCCTGATAAGAAAGTTAAAAGGCAACTAAACTCGGGCTTGGTTGAGATTCATGAACAGTAACGAACATCATATTCACTCTGTATAACTGCACAGATGTTGGGAGAACATTTCCTGCACTCCTGCTTCTAGCCAAAATGGAAATGACCATAAATGCAGGTCAGTGTAGCAGTTTGAGCTGAAACCGGGTATCTCAGAGAAACATGAAAAACACAGGAAAAAATTAGAACTGACATGACATGTTTATCCAAACATACATTTTAAAATATTAGACTTTGATATTGGTTGAGGTAGTCCTGTTATTTTATGAACTGCCTTCAGTGAAACGTTCTCCTTAACTCTTTTCTGCTGCATAGAACAAACCACCCTCCCAAATCGTGTTGCATTCTGCCTAAGCTCGATCTACATTTGAAGATATCTTCAAATTGAATATAAAAGGAAATTCTCTATGTGCAGGGAGGGAAGGGGGGGTGGTGGTATACAGGAATTTCTCTCTCTGTTGGTTAAAAATAGTTAGCATTTGAAACATACCCTTTTAAATGATACTAGGTAACTTCCTGCACAGAAACCCATGAAAATTTCACAATTAATGTATCCTGAAATAGGTGTGGTCTCCAGGCCTGGTAGGAGTTTTGTAAAAGAAACCATCATGCTGGATTCAACAACAAAGTGAAGTACAAACTTGAAGAAAGGCATTCTTTAGCTAGTCCTTTCATTTAAAATCAGTTATGTTCAGGGCAAAAATATTGTATTTCAAAGGAGCCTATTATGCCTTCCCATAAACAGAAAGATCATACGTTTTAAAACTAAAGTATCATTATGTAATCAAGCTGTTGTATTATAAACTATTTTGTGGGCTCAGATGCCCAGGGCTATCTTTACAAATATTTAAGAGGTCATTATCAGGGTATGTTCTCCCTAAAACTATAATTCTTTCCTCCTGTTTTCATATGCATCTTACCATAAATATCTGATATATAAACAATTTTTTAGAAGTTTACTAAGGGCACAAAAGTGAGGTATAAAGACAGTTAAAGAAGCAGAAATGGGTGAATGCAGCAAATACACCAATGGCAAAATAACGCGTTGGATGAGAAAAATGCTGCAAAACAACATGCAACAAAACTAAAGTTTCACAAAAGGATCAATATTTGTATGCCAGTAGAAGGAAAATCAAGAAGAGTGGCTAAGAATAAACCTGACACATTAAAATTTGACATTAAAAGCACTGTAGCTAGATAGGGCTAGAAAAAGTACTCGAAGTTTCAGGTGAATGTGGGAGCAAAATATGTTTTTCCATGTCTGACGTCATGGAATCCGGAGGTGAAAACGATGAGAAAAACCAAATTTAAGTAACACAACAGAGAGAAAAAAAACATAGAGGCATCAACAGCAAACAAGGGACACATGGATTTAAAATGAAGTGTAGTGCAGAAGTGGTGTGAGCTGGAGATACTTGAACCAGCAAACCTGGTATGCAGCTTCATCAGCTTGAGTTGAAGCGAGCACCAGCTCCTTTTGAACGTAAGGCTGTCTGCACTCAGCATGCTTTTCAGTGTTGCTGAACACCTCTGTCCTGCTTTTTTGGTGTGGTGTTGTGTGGGTTTAGGCATGACCTAAAGCTCCTGGAGCGCGGCTGGAGGCTGACACCAGGCTTTACTCTGCTGGAAAAGAACTTCTCTTTTCATCATCAGAACTACCCACTTCTTGTACTCCTCCCATCCAAGGATCACATATGTGAGGCTGAAAACAACATCCCAGGTAACATCTGATATGAAAACAAGTCCGACCCTTAGTCCAGAGAAGGTGCTCAACTACCACGGAAATGGGTGCCATGCAAATGCCACGTTAGATAGTTCTACCAGACAGACAAGGATAAACAAATTTAGGCAACTGAACAGCAGGTGACATTGGAATTCAATTTGAAGGACAAAGAGATAATCACTGTTGTAAAAA